ATAGCAAAAACAAGCAATGTTAAAATTGTATGGATTTTTCAAACATGAAAAAGTTAGATGTTTAATGTAGTAAATACAACTCTGAAGTAGCAATAAGGTTATCAGTTAAGTTTCTGGCATCAAATCAAAACTACCATGAGATACCATCTCACACCAGTGAGAATGGCACATATTAAAAAAACTAGCAACAACAAATGTTGGCGAGGGTGTGGAGAAAAAGGAACTCTTCTGCACTGTTGGTGGGAGTGCAAACTGGTCCAACCACTATGGAGAGCTGTGTGGAGATTTCTGGACCTACTAAACATAGAGCTTCCATATGATCCAGCAATTCCACTCCTAGGTATTTACCCAAAGGACACAGAAACATCAATTCCAAAGAACACCTGCACCCCTATGTTTATAGCAGCACTGTTTACAATAGCTAAGCTTTGGAAACAACCCAAATGCCCAAAAATAGATGACTGGATCAAGAAGATGTGGTACATATATACCATGGAATATTACTCAGCATTCAAAAAAGATAAACACATGCAATTTGCAGCAACATGGATGGCGCTGGAAGGGATCATGCTCAGCGAAATAAGCCAAAAAGAAAAAGAAAAATACCGGATGGTCTCACTCATAGCAGGAATCTAGAAAACTTAAATAAGGGACCAGGAAAATGAATATAAGAAAGTGAAAATCAAAATCAGCAAAAAACTATGAACCAGAGACACTTTTTTGGGGGTGGGGGGCGGGAGGGGAAGGATTGGGGTCAGAATGGGGCGTTTGCATTTGTATGGGGGAATATAAAAATAAAATTTATTATTTTAAAAAAAAAAAGTTTCTGGCATCACTTAAAGTCATAATTTATTAATTATATTGTCAACATCATATGGCCATTAATATCCCTAATGAGTCACTAAAAAAGTGATTTCTAGAGCATGAAATGTAAGATAGAAAGCTATTAACTAAGATGACAAATCTTAAGTATGAAAATCTAACCTCTCCATAAAAATAATATAAACAAAAAGCATTACAATTTAAATAAAAATTATTTTTTTAAAAGATACCACTGGCTCAAAAACAAAAGTTAGTTTCACTTTTTTCTCAATGACAACTACGTTTTCATGTTTTTGGAGATATCTCATGTTTTTGGAGAAGCTACCACCAATCAGCTCTTTCAGGACATTTCAGCAAGGTTGTATGCTACCTTTAAGAGATTCAGAACAACACACTAACTCAAATAGAAGAATGACATTACTTAGCTGAAGACCTAGCACCTACACACATAGTAAAACTTCTCCACTGTGTACCAGCAGTTCATTTTAGGCAGGATTCAATGTAGCAATTCTTTATTCATAAGGCAGGAAAGAGAAGACTTAAAACCTCAAGTGGTACTGCTAATACTGTAAAGACAATGCCTAGGGGCCTCCCTGGTGGCAAAAGGGGTTAAGACGCAACACTATGAAGCTATCCTCAGACACTGCAGCACGAGTTCGATCCCAGGCCAGGGAGGTGACCCACATGGCACAGCATGCCATGACTCTCCTGACTCACCCACTGCTCCCCTCAGCAGTTTATTTCAGCCAATCTGCCTGTTCTGCTCCCCACTCTGTCTCTGGTACGTCCTCTCACACCCCACACCTATGGTCTGTACCCCAGTTCTTACATGCATACATAAATCTTTAAAAACAAAAAAAAGACAATGCCTAGCCAGATACAAGTAAGTTATTTTCCATATTTTAGAATACAAGCCAATAACAGAACATGAAAATCACTTCCTATTCTTGATCCTCAAAGACCCTAAACTTTTTGTAATTATTACAAAAATTTTTTTAAATTGTGAAGTATTTCACACATACAACTACACTATATACAACTATACACACAAGGTATATACATATATGACATGTTATGAAGGAAAGAAACTTACTACCCAAGATAAAAAAAAAATACCGAATATACCACTCTTTCCAAATTTACATGACAATCACACTGAAGCCATGACAACAGCAAATCATTTTCCTTAAGATCTTTCCATTATCATACTGAATCCTGTCATCTGTCCTATTAAAACATCTTTCTGAGTTTCATGTTCTTTTTAAAAGGCAGTAATTATTTTTAATTTTCAGTACTAGATTCATAAGGAGTTTGTCAAATAGTTACTGGATTTTACCCCAGAAGTATTTTCCAGATGCACATATATCCCAAAAGGACCTTAAGAACTTTTTATTATATAGGCCTCCCCTGGTGGTGCAGCGGTTGAGCGCTGGGCTGCAAGGCTGCCTGCAGCCTCTGCAGTGCTGGTTCATTCCCCAGCTGCCAGTAAGGGTCCCACAAAAAAAAAAAAAAAAAAAAAGAGAACTTTTTATTGTAGAAATGTATCCAAACAAGATAAGAATGTAACCAATGTCTGCCTCCTTTCAAACCCATAGCTCTTTCATCTAAAAACATGACATGAAAGCAACACAAAAGTCTGAGTTACAAAGTTGCATGTAAAAAAGAGTTACACTTACTTAGTCCTAGACTAAGTAGTGGCAAAAAGTCTCTGCACAAAATTCATAAAAACTTAACTTCTAAGAATATCCTGTTTTGTTCCTCCTCTTTTTGAATTACCCCACCATCATACAACTCATTGATTTAATTGGATTAGATTTTCTTTTAAGGACAAAGGCCATATATTTTCATTTTCGCATTCCCTTCCTAGGATTAACTCAATAATGTTTGTTGTAACTAAGATAAACTCCAGGAAACGATCTTCAAAACATCTCAGTTCCAGTGCAAAACTGAAAAGAAATGAGTGTGAGAACAAAAAGATAATGATAAAGAATAAAGTTACACATATTTGTGCTATATCATTCTCTTATCACCTCACCCAAATTCATTGTACTGACACTGATGAAATAATCTGCAAAAAATAAAAAACATGGATCTTAAAGTGCTCCTTAATGTCAGCATGCTTAAATACTGTCAGAGACGCATCTTAAACTCATAGCAACATTTCCACACCAAAACAAAATGATTAACAGAAAAAGGCTTTCAAATGAGACCTGAATATAAATTGGCTCTACCTCACTGCAATTTAAGTTCCTGAAATTGTATGCATAATTTGTGTGACTGTGCTTATGCTCATTTTCTACAGTGAGGGTCTTTCATTACTCTCAGAAGGATAAGTGACCCCAAAACACCTAAGTACCACTAATCCACCATATCAAAAACATTCTCTTTTCCAGAGAAACACAGTTAAGTTGGCTTAGTTCAAGTAGTCTCTCCTTAAACTCACAGAAGGAATCCTTACTACAAATTTAGACTTTCGAAGAATTCCTTCAGTCCAGCCAAAAAGTTCTAATATCCACAGGCACATATATCAGCTATTTCCAGATGCCAAAAACAGTTAACTCATAAATGCCAAAAGAAATGCAAAAGGCGGCACACTCTAACACAAACTGGCCACCCTATTTGATACTTAAATACACTTGTATCCTGTCATATTAGAATGTGTAGAGAACATAAATTCCATCCAAAGGGAACAGACTTTTTAGGAAGATTTTCTAGTTTCAATTCCACATTGACTTGCCTTTTTCCCTCTACTTAATACACTGCTGTCAAAACAAGTACCCTCATAGGAACCCAAGGTGTCTCGACAGGGTCACCTTGATTATTCTCACCCCAATGTGGGACCAGTTACTGAATAGTAATTCCATAAATATTTGTCAGAGGAATGAAAGATCCTTTTTCGTTTATATTGAAAATTAAGCCGTTAAGCCCTACACAGCAGCTCCAATACAAGTTATGATAGACATGCGCCCCTCAAACAAACTGAAGTGTTAGAAATGCTCTGTTTCCTCCATTAAGAAAGATAATGTAGTCGTGGATACCCACTTCAGACTGGCTAATCTGGCAAGGACAACCTCCTCTGCACATATACCTGTTTGACAAAAATCTCTACCAATTACAATCCAACTACTCCCATCTTTTCAATAAACTCAGTTTTGTCTGACAAAGACGCACTGAGGTACCATGGTATGGTGTGGACAGATAATAACTATATTTGAGTTACAGACCCCTTTGTCACCAATTTAACATGTGACCTTGGAAAAATTCTCTTTTGATGCCTGAATTTTCTATTTGGTAAAATGGGAGAAAGCATCCATCCTACCAATTTCAAGACTTAGAATCACAAAGAAATTGAAAAAGAATTGTGAAAAATATAAAACGCTTTATTCGATCATAAAGCGTTAATAGAAAGTCAACAAAATGGCCATCCATTCCGTATACTCTCACAGTAATTGTCCTGTTTAAGATGTTCTGGGTCTTCACATTTATACGAGTCACTCTACACAGAAAAACTATTCTTAAGACCACAGCTGGTTCTGACAAGTTTCTCCTGCCTCCACACCTATACGCTATATTGTCTAAACTACTGCCATGACTGCTGTTTCCCAACAAATGAGCGCTTCCAATCCCTAAAAGACACATATAACAACCAGCAGGGTACACAAGTTTTATTTTAAAATAAGCTAACTTTTCAGTGGGATTCCATTACACGCACACAAAAGCAAGCAAACTCTTTCGGAACACTTTTCCGTCCTTGCATACACACACAAACACAGCCGCTATACACCAACAGACCATCTGCCTTTCTAGATCAAAAACATGTCTTTCCCTGTACAAACTAACCAGGAACATTTATTAAACTTACAACACTGAGATCATCCTGTCGTTCCCACATACTGTTGAGCACGTCGGGCGCACCACAGACCTCCTTAGACACGTAAACTGCCCTCAGGAAATCACCCCTCCAGCCACTCCTGTCGCTCCACCACACACAAGCTGGACTACGGGGATGCTCCCACAACACACAAACTAACCTGTCAGGGGCACACAGTCGACTCCGCCTCCACTCGCTCACTTTCCCGCCCCCTCCCCCAGCGAGGAGCCCGCCTGTCAGGGACACCCCTTCACCTCCGCCAGGAGGGACTTCCCGGTCCAGCGCAGGATCTCCCCTTCCCTCCTCGCCCCTCCCCCATCCTTACCGCCGCGCTCCCGGAGGTCCAGGTCCGGGAGGTGACAGTGGCTCCCAGGAAGCTAAGGACGGAGCCGCTGAGGGAGTACTTAGGCCCTAAGGCCTCCCCAGGCAGTTCTACTCACCGTGTCAGAGGCCGAGGCCGACAGAGATGAGAGTGCAGGGAAGTGGGGAAGAGGGGGCGGCCGCCACCAGGCTCCTCCGCTCCCTTGGTCCACGGCGGATCCCTCACGCTTGTCAGGAGGCAGCCAGCGGTGAGCGGACTGGCGGAAATGCGAGAGGAGAAGGGAAAGGCGTGGGGCTAAGCTGGGGAAACTGAGGGGAGGCGGGTCCCGCAACCGAGACGGGGATCGTCTCCCCCTCCGCAAAGCGAACCCAAAATGGCGGCGGGAGCGGCGGCGGCGGCAGAGCGGCGGCGGCGGCAGCTCCTCGGGAGGGAGGGAGGGAGCGAAGGGCGCCTCGTGCCCCCCCCACCTCCCACTCCTCCCTCCTCACGTTCCCCCCTCCGTCCTCCCCCTTCGCCCGACTGGGGCGGCGCAGCGCGCACGCCCGCCCGCACGCGCCAGAGTGTATCTGGGCTCGCGGCGCCCAGCTCCCACCAACCGCCGCCTTCGGCCGCCTCGCGCGCCCGCCAGCTCGTACGCTCGTGCTCAGGGGCGCCTCCTCGCGCGGCTCCCCACTCTCCCTCGGCCCCAGTCGAGCCGGCTCCGGCGCGGCCCCTCACGCGTACCTTCAGCGGCGCGAGCCCGAGACGCCTCCTCCTCCTCCTCGTCTTTCCTCCCCCCTTCCCCGCCCCCACTGCCACCAACCGCCGCCAGGGCCGCCGCCGCCGCCGCCTCCTCCGGGCCCCCCCCACATGCCCTCCGCCCCTCGCGCGTGCGCCTCCCACAATCCCCCCCGCAGGACGGATCCATTCCCGTCGGCCGCGGGAGCCGGGGAGGACGAGGCAGGCGGAGGCCGCGGAGCTCGCCGCTGCCGCTGGAGCTGCCCGAGCGGCGGACGGACATCTGGGGCTACCTACCTCCCGGGCCGCGGCGGCGCGGTGGCGCGGCTCGCCTCCCCAAGCCGCCTCCGGGCCGCCCGCAGCGGGAGCGGGAGGGCCCGGCGCCCCTCCGCTGGCGGGCGCTTGGAGGCCGCGGCGGCTGCGCGCTGAGGAGCTTCCTGCCGTCTGACCCGAGCTTGCTCCTCCGCTGCGGGGCCGGCGCGGTGGAAGCCGCCCTCGGCAGTGTTTGCGCCGCGCCGCGTCCGGAGGCCTGGCTAGAGACTGTCGGCGGAGGAGGGAACGGGGGCTGCACCGGTGAAGGAAAGGAGCGGGACCCCGAACCTCCGGGAGGTAGGGAGTGAGGCCGGCGAAGCCGGCGACCCTAGGGGGCTTCCCACCTGGCTGTGTGTGCGAACCCGCGACCCGGCAAGGACCCCGCGCTGGTCGGCCGTTGGTTTGTTTTTTTTTTTAACCCAGCTTAGATTTCTCAAATTTCACGTTTATATGCCATGATGTGGTACATGTGCACTTTGACGCATTCCTCGTGGAAGGCCAATACATCTTCATCCTCATTTAAGCAGGCTAGGGTTAGGGGGTAATACATATTTCTAGTTCATTCCTGGACTCGATCGCCCATGTCCTGTGTGACCTTACCAAGAAGAAGTGCACCGGAAAATTAGTTGACTCCAAATCTGCCTTCAGGATGGGTGTGTAAAATAATGAGATAATATGTATGAAGTGGAAGTAGCTCGTAGGCACAGAGAAAGTGGAGAGTATTATCCTTCACAGTATTGTGGATGTGATAAGGTTTGTGGGTGTAATTGGTAGTTTGTGTCCTAGTCTTCCAAATTGTTAACAAAAAAATGCAAAAGAAGGCCTATCAGATTTCTTCTGTGACTGCTGATACTTGTTTCTTAAAACAGTAGTATTTACTTTCTCTTCATGATTGAATTCAGAACTCTGAACTAATAAAATCCACGGATAATCCCAAATGTATCTAATCTGGTAGTTTGGGGTTTCACCCAAAGGGTATACAGCAGATTAAATTAGGGGAGGCATCCTCTTCAGTTATCAACTTTTAAGGATCTGAGGATACTCTGAAAAATGGTAGAAATAATTGCTTTCTAAGTCAAGCTTTAATAGACACTTCTAAATTTCCCTTTTAATATGTTTCAATGTATGGATCAGCTTTTGTTTGCTTGTTTTTGTTTATTTTTAAAGAGGCAAGAAACATTAGTTATTCACTGTATATTTGCTTTTCCTAACCATGTCCTAAGTCTCAACTCTTTCGTGCAGAGAGGATTTAGTTTGACATTGATATTTAATTGTGTCATGTATGTAACCGTTTTACCCTAGGACAACTTTCTTTGAGGGCAGGGGCAATGTCTAACATTATATTCTTTTATAGTCTTTTATGCAAGTCTTGGAAACACTGAAATGAATGTTAGACTCTCTTTTTTTAAAAAGATTTATTTATACATACAAGAACTGGGGTGTAGGCCAGAGGTGGGGGAGATGAGAGGATTCACCAGAAACAGAGTAGGGAGCAAAACAGACAGACTGACTGAAATACACTGCTGAGGGGAGCAGCAGGCAAGACAAGAGAGGTCTCCTGCACCATGTGGGTAGCTCCCTGGCTGGGGATCTTCAGATAGCTTAATAGTACTGAGATTTAACCCCTTGCACCACCAGGAAGGCCCCGAATGTTAGATTCTTAACATGTAAGAAGGAAAAGAGAATTAACATTTGTGGAATTTCATACCAGCAGAACGTGTTTTAAGTGCTCAATAAAATGACCACGTTGAATTAATGAGCCCTGATTTATTTGAACCAGAGAAGGTATGGAAGACAGAATAATGGTTCCTTCAAAAATGTCTGTGTCTTACCCCTGGAACCTTGTGACTATGTTACATGGCAAGAGGGAATTAGGATGCAGGTGGAATTAAGGCTGCTAATCAGCTAACCTTAAAATAGGGAGATTATCCTGGATTTTCTGGTAGGCCCACTGTAATTACAAGAGTTGAAAAGATGGAAGGGAGAGATCAAACAACCAGTGTCAGACTGATGCAATGTGACAGAGATTTGACCAGCTGTTGCAGACTTTGAAGAGTAAAGAGCAGCTTTTAAAAACTGGAAAAGCTGAGAAAACAGATTTTCTACTAGAGTCTCCAGAGAGAACACAACTCTGCAGACACTTGGATTTTGGACTACTAAAACACAGAACTCGAAGATGACAAGTTTGTGTTGTTTTATACCACTAAATTTGTGGTGTTTTGTTAAAGCATGAATAAGAAATTAATACAGAAAGGGAAGACATGACTACCCTCCAGAGTACTCTGCTTTGGATTGTGGTTTTGTGCTTTAATTTAAATGAGGGTGTGGTTTAACTGAAACTTTTCTTTAAGCAGAGTGATAGGCACTCAACAAAGCTGCCTAGATTTTCATTATTTCCCCAATGCTCTGCATTGAACCAAATGTTTCCAATAAGACTTGGGATTTATAACAGTCTTTTTCAACCTCAGTGCTATTAACATTTGGGTCTGGATAATTTGATATGGGATCCTCCCCTAAGCATTGCAAGATATTTCGTAGAATCTGTGACTTCTACTCACTAGATGCCAGTAGTACCACTCTCTCAAGTTGTGACAACACAAAAAAATGCCTCTAGACATTATTGGGGCGGGGGGAACGGTGTGAATTATCCCCATTGATAAGCACAGATTTGGAAAAATAATTATTGATTAGAATTACTGATTATCAGAAAAAAGTTTCAGTAGAGAAAAATTCATGACAGACTTAAATATCCTTGTGTGTGTGTGTCGTAGAATAAGGCATTTGACAGTCTCAGTCACTACTTTTTGGAGAAATATTTAATTGGTTGATTTACCATATCCAAAGACTACATGCTAGTTAAATGGGGAACTTTATTTTTTTTATAAGATTTATCTTTTATTGGGGCCTCCCTGGTGACGCAGGTTCTTGAGCGTAGTGCTGTGAAGCTGTCCACAGCCACTGCAGTGCGGTTCCATCCCCGCCAGCTGCAGAGCAACCCACATGGTGCAGCAGATCTCTCCTGTCTCACCTGCTGCTCCCCTTGGCAGTGTTTTCGGTCATCTGTCTGTTCTGCTCCCTGCTCTGTCTCTGGTGAATCCTCTCACCCCCGGCGCCTCTGGCCTATACGCCAGTTCTTGTATAAATAAAGAAATCTTTAAAAAAAAAAATAGAACTGGGGTGTAGGCCAGAGGTGCCGGGGTTGAGAGGATTCACCAGAGACAGAGCGGGGAGTAGAACAGGCTGATCTACTGAAATACACTGCTGAGAGGAGCTGTGGGTGAATCAAGGGAGGTCCGGGTAAGACAGGAGAGGTCCACTCCCTGGCCAGTGGCTGGGAATAGCTTGATAGCGCTGAGACTTTTACCCCTGCGCCACCAGGGAGGGAACTTTAAAAAAGTGTCTCAATCTAAATAGATATTTTGATATAATTGGTTGGAGATACAGTGCAGGTATTAAAAAGTTATAAAATTATTCCCACATGCAGCCAGTATTAGGAACCACTGATTGAGGCTTTGCTACAGAATTTCTCAGATAAAATTATATGGGATGCAATTACTTGAATGCAATCACTGAACATGTTTTTCAAATTTGTAATTTTCACAAAAATTTTAAAGGGTATGTAGTGTTGGTGATAGTCTAAGAAAAACAAAAATATCTCCATTTTTGGGCCTCCCTGGTGGCGCAGCGGTTGAGCACTGGGTTGCGAAACTGCCCGCAGCCTCTGCGGTGCTGGTTCGAACCCCGGCTGCTCCCGGGCCTCCGGAGGAGGGTCCCACATGGCTTGCAGACCTCTCCTTCCGCCCGCTGCTCCCCTCAGCAGTGTACTTCAGTCCTTCTGCCTGCTCTGCTCTCCACTCTGGCTCTGGTGAATTCTCTCACCCTCTGGCACTTCTGTACCCAGTGCTTGTATGCATAAATAAACAAACAAACAAATAAATCTTTTAAAAAAAAAAATCTCCATTTTTATCTTCCTCCAAAAATATTTATCACCCCGCCAAAAAAAAAGCCCATAGGGATCTCTGATTGGATCCTATAAGAGAAAGAGGACTTTAGCAGAAAAACTGGAGAATTCCAAATAAAGACAGTAGTTTAGTTAATAGTATTGTGCCAATGTTAATTTCTTTTTTTTCCTAAAGAATTATTTTTATTTATGCATACAAGAGCTGGGATATAGGCCAGAGGTGCAAGAGGGTAAGCGAATTCACCAGAGACAGAGTG